TACTTGTCATTGGTAGCGAGGCTTGAGCCACCATGGGTACGACTGGCATGAGTAAGCATTGATGACCGCTGAAGAAAGCAATCTGGACAGCGGACACAGCAAAAGCCAGACTCATGTATCTTGAGTCCAGCAATGGGAGGGCCACCAGGTGCAGGGGGGAGAATCTTGTGATCACGGCAAAGTCCATATTCTTCTGCAAGTGCAGCTAATTCTGCAGCATCAGTCTTCCTCACTGGAACCCCATGCCCTTTAACATGTGCAACTGCAGCAGATGGGACCCAGCAGATTTCGCAGGCCACGCAGATCACGACTTTCAAGTACGCATGGACACGTAAGCCAAGTCGCTCAAGCAAGGGTGTAGAAATCAAGTGATTTTCAGTCTGAGGGATAGGAGGTTGCGTACTTGGACGATGCACAGGCAGCAGCAATGGTTGATGTGCGGCGATGTTTGCCTGATCCAAATCATCACGCTCCACAACTTGATCTACATGTGGAGATGCAGCAGGGTGTGGGTCACTGAGTGGAGCGGAGGGGCCTGTGTCAACATCCATTGCATCAGAATCACCGACTGGTGTAGTGCCCTCTTGCGGAGCACAGAAATCTTGATCTTTGTGGCTCTTCAAATGCACTCCCATTTGCATGCGAGACTTATTGTTGAACTGGCAATCAGTTACAGGACACTTCAGAGCCTCTTGCACTGCATTGCGTTGAAGGATGACCACATTATCTGTCATGTTATCAGCATCATTAAACTTGAGAACTTCTAATCCACATACCTCGGAATTTGAGAGTATTTATCAGAGCATGCTCATCCTCTGTGTGATAATCCAAGCTGTTGACTTTAGTACCACAAAGCTGACACTTGGTTCTGAATAGCCAGTGAGCAAAGCAAATAAACACAAACAATAAGCACTCACTTGGCCATTATAGGAGATTCAATGATTCTAGCTGCTAAGCATCAATGATGAGTAAAACCCCTTGTGGCTGTGCAGAAACTCGAACATAGAACAAACAGAAGTAAACAAGCAATGTGTGTGGCCAGGTCTGGTGAGAAAATAGTTGTGGCTGTGCAAAAACTCGAGCTTGTACCAAGCAAAGCCACACAAACAACCTGGGACACAGGCAGACAAGCTAGGAACAACTGGGGATGTCTTGAATACAGGAGACTATAACTGACCTGCTTATTAAGCAAAAACTCGGAATTGGAACAAATAGAGCCCAACAAATAATCCAGTAGCCCTGGACAGAGTGTGGTGGTGGTAGGAAGAGAGAAGGGATTGGTGGCAGTGTAAAAACTCGAACTTCAAACAAAGCCATGCAAAGAGGTACAAACATGTACAAATAAAGACAAACCCGGGCAATAAAGAGAGAGTTATAGGGCCTGCTATCTCACATGCATGAGGGAAGCTTACCAACCTAGGTTAGTTAACAGCTGGGGAGCCATAAATTCTCGTAGAATTGGAGGCACCTGGCGGATTAGAACCCGCCTCTATAATCGCTCAATGGCGCGTCACAGACCGTTAGACCAACCGGGTCAGAGTACTCAGAAGCGCGGGACCGATATATAGCCTTCGGCTTCAAGTTGGACTTAGCCCATTTTTCATCTTATGCTTCGGGGTCATGTAGCATATAGGATTCATGTATTCTATCTACCAGTATCTACTACATCTTAGTGTAATAACTATACTACCTCAAACATGGCTGACGAACCGCGAACCATGCGCGCGCACGACTTCGGTGTGGGCGGTAGTGGGAGGTGGCAAGAAAACATAAAACAAATCATAGAAAATTAAGGACTTACTCAATCGCAAAGACGCCTACGGCGTCGTATTCCTACGAGATGCACGAGTCAGAATCACCCCGCTTTGAAGCGGGGCGACGCGTTTCGACGTCGGCGCGATGCACGACGTCGGGGAGAGGGAGGGTGACATCGCGGCACCGGCGAGACCGTTTGCCGCACGTGGTGATCGGTGGGGGTTGAGAAAGGCTATAGGAAGACGGCCCCGTCCAAACGCGCGGGTTCGCGCGCTCTCCGGGGCCGTTCTTGGGGGAGTATGTGGAAGGGGGGAGGAGGGGGACAAAATAAATGATAGAAAAATAACGACTTACTTGTTTAGTAAGACGCGTGGTGCGTCGTATTCCTGACGTCCGCGCGATCCGGGAACATTCACGCTTGATGCGGGGCGTTGCGATCGCGTCTCGGCGCGAAGGTCGGCGTTGCGGGTGACGACGCGGCGACAGCGGAGGGGGCAGCGGTCGCAGAGACGAATGGTGGCCCGAGAAGGTACTCACTGGGCATAGAACACGATTCGCAATGGGGCAGAAGGTACGCGGTGCGTGACAGGGCGTGCGCGAGGTCGGGAGGAGGTGGGAGGGTCGGGGCCGAAGAGAAAATGATATGGAGCGCCGACGAGCGCGAACGTCGTCGACGTTCACTTCTCGTCGACGTCCTGGCTCTCGTAAAAGCCAGGAATGGCCACCTGTGCGATGGCAGGTGGCCTGGGGAACGAGCAACGGGGGTGGGGGGAGGGAGGGGCCAACTTGAGAGAAAAATAGAGATTGCCACAGAACGAGCGCACGTATTCGCGTGCGCTCGACTGTGGCACACTCTGCTACGCGTCAAGAGTCAGAAATGACATCAAAACCGAGAACGACGGCACGTTCTCGGTTTTGAAGTCGCGCGACGGACGGGAGGGGAGTGCAGCGCCGGCGGCGCCAGCAGCGGTCGTACAGGCCAGAACGAGCTGTACCGCGCTTCATTAGCGGTATAGCAAGCGTTCTGGACTGACGGCGCCTCGCGGGCACCATCGAGTCCGTCCCCAGACGGAGATGAAGGGAGGGGGTGGTTGGGCCGCACAGAATTGGCCGTAACTCGACGACGAGACATCGCCCACGCAAGGCGCATATCTCGTCGTCGTCCTGACTCCCATAGGAGTCAGGAAAAGGCATCCTATCCGAGGATAGGCGGCCGGAGAAGCGGGGAGAAAAGGGGAAGTGTAGGGGGTTGAAAAACACAAAAACGAAAATTAAAGAAGAACGGGGCTGCTGTTTTGCGCGGCCCCGGCGTCGTCGGCTTCCTGATGTCGTGTAGAGTCGAAACGAGCATCGAAACCGAGAACGCCGCGGCGTTCTGGGTTTCGAGCTCGGGAGGGCGGCGGGGGGGGTAGACGCGCTGGCGGCGTTCGCGCGGCGTTCGTGCGGGCTCCGATCGATGCAGGGACAATGTTACCACCTACAGGAAGGTAGTACACCTGTAAAATAGACAAACGGGGCCAGCAGCACGCCCCCGCGATGAGTCGCGAGGCGGGCATGCCAGCCCCTTGTATCAAATAATAAAACATCGAATTTCAATGTATTTGCATACCTTGTTACCCTGTCCTCTGCTCACAAGCCCTCTAACCTTCACTTCCACAAAACAGATCAAACATCCAGGGGTTGAGGATGCAGCGGCGGCGTCGGTAGTGGCCTCGAGAGCACGACGCGGGACTTCGCGTCTCGCGCGCGTCGGCGCGTCTCCGAGCGTGCCTCGCTCGGGCTCTAGAGCATAAATTAGGGTCAACAAAACATGTACCCGGGGGTTTTCATACCCGCTCAGTACAATGAAATACTTACCGAAGCTCGACGTTGTGAGCGTCGACGTCCGCGACCGACTTTGCATTCGCGCCACCGCATTCGGATTGCTTATATAAGCGCACGTGCAAACGCGAATAGGCCGCGCGTCGCAGCATTTGCAGCTCTCTCCTTCCCTCGACATTGCCAACTCTCGAGGCTCATCAAGACCAGCTTTTAGAGTAGAATCTTTTATTATAGCTATATTCTATAGATATGCCTCCTATCAGGAACACAGTGACTGGATTGAAGGGCAAGGGCCCTCCTGGAGTGAGGCCTGCTCCTGCTGTGGTTCCTCCCCCTGCTCCTGCTCCTGAGCCTCCTGTCTCTGGGGCTCCTGAGGGTGAGAATCCTGCCAATGCCCCTGGAGAGACTGAGAAGCCTCCGAGGAAGCTCTCGAAGGTGGAGTTGAAGGCCA